TAGATTACTGCAAACTGGACAAGGAAGCTGCTACTCAACTTCTCAAAGGGAAAAAGGTAGTGGTCGTTGGTTTCAAAAAGTCAGGTCTTGATTTAGCCATGGAGTGTGCACAGGCAAACCAAGGTATAATCTTATTACTTTTTCTTATTTCTAAATAATAACTTTATTAATTCTTTTATATTTACTGTTTGCTTCACCCGTACAATGCATGGAATTATTTAGGCTATATGTGGAGACTTTTTTATCCAAATCTATTTATATGTCATACATGTTATCGAGATTGGTGATGTTTTTATTTGTTTTAATTGGTCTTTTTTTTCTTTTATTGAACCTACTAAATTTAGACTTATAATATGAAAAAAAATAAAGATGTTTATTTTTTATTTTCTGTTTTTATAATTAATAAAGAGTAATAACAAATTTTCAAAATTAATTTTTCTACAATAATATCATTTGATAATTATTATTACTACATTGGACAAATGTAAAAATATCATTTTATATTTATTGCTATTAAATATACAGCTGAAAGTAACTCTGATAAAATTAATTTTAATTAATTCGGCTTATTCAAAAAAAACAAAAAAAAAGAAATCAAACTGTTGATATTTTAATTTTGAAAACGAAATGCTGTCAAAGATAGAGAAAACATTTGGTGGTAAAAGTTGCACGCATTAACGATCGGTTGAATGATGTAAAATATTAGATACTATGTATATTTTATGTATATTTTGTGAAGTATAAAATTAAAAAATATTATGTTTTATGAGTTATTTTTTGTTCCCCTCAAATTATGATTGGTTAAGAAACATTGTAATAAAATTGTCCATGCCAAATAGTATTATTATTTTAAAAATTACTTTTTCTTTGATTACTGATATTTATTTATGTATTCTTTCTTTTCAAAGTCAACTTCACAATTTTTTTTTTTTGAAATAGTATTTTATTTTATTTTACATTTTTGAAGCTGTTCTTAATTTGGAGAAATTAAACAAATAAATCTTGTAAAATAACTTGGGGTGTTCTTCAATTCGTGGCACCTATAAATTTGCGAATTCCCTCTTTGTATGGTCTTTTTGAAAACATGGGTGGTAGATCAATGCATAAACAATTAAAATCTTTAAAGATATTTTAATGTTAAAAATTGAAATATTATATATAAAGTCTTAACTCTGAATCGTGTTATTGCAATTTTTATGAATAAAAAAAGATTTAAATATATTTTTAATCCTTATAAAATTGATGATTTTAATTTTTGATTTCTTTAAATTTTTCTTTATTTTTTATCCTTTTAAAATTTATAAACATTTTTAGTCCTTATAAAATATGTAAATTTTGATTTTGATCTTTATAAAATATTTTTATTTTTTTTATTTTTATCCTTTTAAAATTTAAATTAACTATTTTTAGTCTATGATCATTTTAAGGTAGATAAATAACATTTATTTTAAAGATCTATAATTTTTTTTAGAGATGTTAAATATAATATGATATCAGTAATAACTGTAGGTAATACTTAAGATAATTACTTAATTTTTTAATAAATAAAGTAGCTTAAAAATGATTACATAAAAATAGAGACTAAAAATAATAATTTTAGTTTTATAGAAATGAAAAACAAAGAAATTTTTTTACAAGAACTAAAATTAAAACTTGACAATTTCATAAAAACCGAAAACATATTTAAGCCATAAAAAAATATGAAAGTAATTATTAACCAATAAGATTGAAACCAAGTCTTTTGGTCTATTAGTTATAAGGTTATCCGAGACATGTAAGCTCAACTTGATACTCTTAAATTTAATTTTTATTTATATTAAAATAATGTTTAATTAGCAAAAATTACATCTTATGAATGTAGATTAATTAATCCTTAATTATCAATTTTGATAGATGATTTTCATAAAAAAGAAAAACAATAAAATTGGATTTTTGCAGAATAAATCTAGCCCAACATCATATGACTAATGGGGGTTCAAATCTATGTTGAGAGGAGGTTACATTTAATAATCAACAGTATTCAATACTGCTTCCAATTCTAAAACAATATACTTGTAGAGGAGAAAAAAAGTGAAGGAAATTATTTATGCATGTGTGTAAATCGATTTTCTTCTGTTTTGGCTAGTCACAAAGGTGGCGTTCAATGGTCCCAATTGAAAATCTTTCCTTTTATTTATCATCATGTGCTGTGGAAAATGATGACAATTTTTTCATATTCCGACCAGTGCTTGTTGTTTTCCGTTTGCTTTTATTTTCTATGGCAATGTCATTTTCACAAAAGAATTTTTGGTTGTTATTGAATGTTACTCGTAATACTTATAAGTATGCGGTTTATTTTCCAAGTTGCCACTTGCATGGTTTGATTGCACACTATAGTTTTCGGTTCTGTTGTTTTCATATATATTTTATGAATAAAAGATGTTTTTGACTTGCTACTGTTCTTTTCTTTTCATTTAATATAATAATTATAAAAATTGACGCGAAGCTGATATGGGAAGAACTTATAGGTCATATAAAATAGAATTCCACGCATCAGTTTTGACTTTCATCAATATGTTTGGGAATGGCTTTCAAGTTTCAACGATGGATTCCAATTTCCAACTTTGATCTTCACATGCAGACATTAGAGCCACGTGTGGCAGTCTTGTCTTCTAACATCATAAGAAAAGTCTACTCAAATTTCAAATGGCCCTCCGCAATTTGGGCTAGGGTCAATCTGTGAATAAAGTGGGCCATACCAGCCTCGCTCCAATTTCTTCTTCGTTGAAATATTTTTGGGCCGGATCAATGTGGCCCATTTCTCTCTCCTCTTTTCCTTTTTATTATTCTAAATTTATATAAATTTTAATAAAGACAAAAGGTAATAGTAGACCGAATAAGTTTAGTACCTTTTGGTCCGACATTTGACAGGTCCAACTTGGCCCATTAGACCTATCATTTGGGCTTAAAATTTTAGTCTAACCTAATTTATCATATTATAAATTTTTTGGCTCGGCTTCATTTTATCATTTCTATGACTTAGATCAAATGAGTGATCATAAATAACTGCAAGTGATTTTCAACTTAAAAATGTGTTTGGTACGTCAGTAACTTATAAGTTACTTTGATTAACTTATAAACTAATTTGACCAGAATTATATATAACACACTATATATTAAATACATTGTCAATGTTTATTATTTTCTTATATCTCTCTTTTTATTATATTATATCACTTTTAATATTTATATTTCTCATTCTCCTTCTAAGTTTTAACTAGTATTCAGTATACACCGTTTTTTCTTCTTCCATAATATATGCAGGAAAAGGAGAGAAACTTCTTTTTCCCACTTATTTTGATTTGAATGTGAATTGTCTCATCTTAAGACAAAGATAATCTAATAATTGTTACCTACATTATTTTGGGTACATAGAATTTATTAGTTTCAACATTGTTTTGAAGGAGCTGAAGGAGAAGCGTGCACCATGGTGGTAAGGACTTTGCATTGGACAGTTCCACATTACTGGATTTGGGGATTGCCATTTTTCTTGTTCTACTCAACAAGATCTTCTCAGTTTATCCACGAAAGACCAAACCAGGGCTTACTCAGAACCCTTCTCTGCCTCATGTTATCTCCATTGGTAAATTACAATTAACTTTTTATCACTATCCTGGATCACATTCATAATACATAGTGTCTTAAGTAAATTACTATTATGCTTGTTACAAGCATAACTAATGCTTTGTTATGTTATGCAATGAGCTATAACAGAGGCGCGGAATTTCAAAGTTTATTGAGTCCTACCTTCTCTGGAAACTTCCATTGGAGAAGTATGGGTTAAAACCAGAACACCCCTTTGTGGAAGATTATGCATCTTGTCAAATGGCCATCATGCCAGAAAATTTCTTTGATGAGGCTGAAAAGGGCAAAATTATCTTCAAGAAGGCATCAAAGTGGTGGTTCTGGAATGAAGGGATTGAATTTGAAGACAACACTAAACTGAAGGCTGATGTAGTTGTTCTTGCAACTGGTTTTGATGGAAAGAAAAAGCTCAAAACCCTTTTACCCGAGCCTTTTTGTAGCCTGCTGGAGTACCCTTCTGGTATTATGCCTTTATACAGGTAACAAAGACTCTTCCATTCATTGTATTTGTTTCCTGACAAAAATATGTGATGAAAAGTGCTAGCAATGTACTCTTTTGAACATATTATTTAGTATTACAATTTACAGATATTATTGAAAATCACAAACTTACGTAGAATTCGTTTCTTATTTAATTAGTGCAACTCATAATTTTGTAGTTTCTAATTAAATTTTAACCAATATAAGAATGCGGTAGAAGTATTGTATCACAGTATTCTTACGTGAGAACTAACAGCTGATTCATGCTAATAATGACAGGGGAACTATCCATCCATTGATTCCAAACATGGCCTTTGTGGGTTACGTTGAGAGTGTCTCAAATCTTCACTCATCAGAGCTACGCTCCATGTGGCTTTCTGGACTGGTAGATGACAAATTCAAGCTCCCAAGTGTTGAGAACATGCTTTCACAAACACTCAAGGAGATAGAAGTGATGAAAAGGTCAACTAGGTTCTATAAGAGGCATTGCATTTCAACTTATAGCATCAACCATAGTGATGAAATTTGTAAAGATTTGGGGTGGAGTTCCTGGAGGAAGAAGAACTGGATATCCGAAGTATTTGGCCCCTACAGTATTGAAGACTATGCCAAGGAAGATTGAATATATAATATAAGCTTACAACCACTCTCTTAGTGACTACATAAATAGTATGAGAATAATAAGAAAAAAAATAACGGCATGTTATTGTTATCTAAGAAAGAAATATATCAGTAGTCATTTTTATATGAAAATTGTGGCTAAATGCCATTTAGACGTTTAAGAGTCATGTTCCATAGATGTAGTCATATGTCAACTCCTTCAAGGTTTCAGCAACTTTGTTCAAGTTAAGTCATATGTATTGCTGAACCTTTTTACAAATAGCAAATTCAAATCATATAGAAATTATAATGGATGGTCACTTTATTAATTGAAGCTAAACACACGATGTGCAAAAGATACATACATAATCTCACTGTATTTGTGGCAAATGAAGGCATTATTTCCATCCGGAGAGGTTATAAATGTTTGCTCTCTATAGGAGAATAGTTATCATGACCTTCATGTGAATGTGATCAAAGGCTCCAAAATCAGCTACATAATTACAGTGGTTACAAACTTTCATAGAAAGCAAAAGAATCAGAAGCCTCAAAGGCTCTGAAGTATTTTGAGGGTCTCATCAATATGCTTTTCTGGTTGGAACTGGTTATTGTAGACGAGCTGAACCACCCCATTTTTGTCAATAACATAAGTCTCTCTTCCAGGCAACGATCCAAAGAAATCACCCGGCACTCCCCATTCTTTCCTCACTTTGTTACCCTCGTCACTCAACAATGTAAATGGAAGTTTGTACTTGCTGGCAAATGCCTGCATTCCATGCAATGCATTCAGTATAAAAATAATATGGTTAATTAAAAAACAAAAAAACACAGTGAAACTTTTGAATTTTACCTTGTGAGAGGAAGGATCATCTCCACTTATCCCAACAACCACTGCTCCTGCTTTCTTGAACTTCTCATATGAATCCCTGAAAGCGCAAGCCTGCAATGAAAAATAGTAAAAATAGACACCGTGGCAATATCAGTAGTACGATATCGATCATTTATGTATATTCTTTTATACATTCTACCACCACCAGGTCTGTATAATCCAATTGTATCATGCCTTTACCATATTGGAATTATATCATAATCCTTCATGTTTCAGCCGCATTTGTGGTCTAAGTCTTAAAAAACGTGACAAATTTTGATTACAACATCAAGGTTTCTTGAGTGTCTGATTGTATCACAACTGATTGTAGCTGCATCAGTCACATTTATCTGCAATTTCCCACGGTATCAAAAAAACACAAGGAACTACAACCCTGAACACAATTTAAAACCTTGGCCTGTTTACCCTATTGGAAATATACCATAATCCTTCATGTTTCATAAACCACCAAAACCCTTATCCTCTTCCTTTTCAAAAGGACAAGAATGCCTTTGTACATCAAATAAATCTTAGTATATAAAGTCTGAAACATGTCATTAAACAGTTGTATTGCCTTTTGTTCATATGCTCCACAAAATAGTATATATAAGGCACCGACATATCTACAAAATGTTGTGTCGGCATATCCGACACATTTTTGACATAACACTTCTCAGACACACCATGACACACGTGCAACACACCTATATCATTTTACAATTAAAAATTAGGCTTAAATATGTTTTTAGTCTTTTAAATTTAAGACAAATTTATTTTTGATCCCTCAAATTTAAAACTATTGTTTTTAATCCCTGTAATTTTTAAAAATCTTATTTTAATCCTCCAGGTCACCAATAACATATATGAAAGTGATTGATTAAGACGATTATGCAATATCAACCGGATTTAATATGAAGTTTTCATTAATAGAAACACCAATAGGTAGATTTTATGTACTAATGTTTGATAAATTTTTAAACAAAATTTGAATATAGGAACTAAAATAAGATTTTTTGAATTTACAAGGACTAAAAACAATAATTTTAAATTTGAGGGACTAAAAATAAATTTATCCTAAATTTGAGGGACTAAAAACATATTTAAACCCAAAAATTATTATTTTCTTTGATTCGGATACCTCTCCAATATAACTTTAACACTTTTCTAACACGAGTTGAACAAGAACTAAAGTAGTGAATTGACGTCTGTTCTTAATTAAACACTTATCTAACACTCCTAATATAAAAAAAAAATAAAAAAATTCAACTTATAAATATTGCAAGACTCATTTTTATTATTTGTGGGAAGAATTATTTTCATAAGAATTACTTGATGATTTAATTTTTAAGAATTATGTTATAAAAAATTGTAAAGTTTATCCATATCGGAGTCCGTACTTCATAGACAGTACATCATACATCTATTGAATTATAAATTTTGAAAATGTCTAGAACTAGAAAACTAAAAAAAATTGGCATCTGAAGCTACATTATTTGACATTGTCTGTAATTGTTTACCTGTTTGGTACAGCCAGGAGTCTCATCAGCAGGGTAGAAATACACAACTATCGGTTTTCCTTTGAAGTTGGCGAGGCTCACATTCTTTCCATTCTGATCTTTGAGTGTGAAATTCGGTGGCTTTGAGCCTTTACTGACCTGTCGAGGAATATATAATACAAACAAACAGTAAGGAATGGTTGGGGGGCGTGGTTTAACAAGATGCACACTGAGCAAAATGTACCTTGGCGAAAATGGAGGGTTTAAGTGAAGAAGAAGAAGGAATTGAGGAAACGGCAGAATGAGATAACTTGAGGCCGAAAAAGTGAGAATTTGGTGGCGTGGAAGGAAGAGGGAGGTTTTGGGAAGATGGGTTGGTGGCAGAGTGAGGGCGAAGCAAGGTGGGAAGATAGTGGTTTGGGAGAGTGAGGGAAGCCATTGGTGAGAAGCCAAATGGAAAGTGTTGGGATGGAAAGAGAGATAAGGAAAAGCGTCAATGGCTGGTAGCTGGTGGATTGCCTTTCTGGCGTGGACAAATTCTGACCCCAACCTTAACTCTTAACCACGTTAGACACAACACAATAAGCCAAGTAGTTTAAGGAAATCTTCTGCATATTTGTCATCCAGTAACCAATAGAATAACAAGGAATTAAAAAGGACCTTAATTTTCGCGTAGAGATTTTTTTAGTACTTATTATTAAGGACCTTAATCTCTCTGCTTTCTTTTTATCTTCTCCATCTCTTTTATTTTCACCCTATAATTTTTCAACATTTTAATAGTTAACCAATAAAAGAGTAAAATAAGTTGTTATATAATAGAAGAATTAACATAATAGTTAAACACCTTACATTATAGACAATCTATTTAACGGAGAATTTGTATTTGAATTTAGTTATATATAAAAATTAATTGAGTAAACAAACATTACAATACTGCAAGTAAGATTAGTATCTCATTAAATAATCTTAATAAATATCGGTGATAGAAAAAAAAAACTTTGACATGTAAAATTTGTAACATATGTTACTTGTGAATTTACATATGTTAAATTTTGTGACTGGAAAATATAAATTAAAATAATTATCCTATAAGAAATCATTTTGGATTTTTATAATTATAAATGATTTTGTATAAAAATTATATCAGATAGATTATTCGACCAATGGTAACTGATAATGTCTGCTCAACAACATTAAGCATTGCGACATCTTTATAAGTTTACATTCTCCCATTTCGACCACACAACTAAATTATGCACATCTATTTAGCAGTCTTGGCCATGGATAACTTTGTGTTGACAAATGGTCTCAACTACATATTTATAAACATCTTGTTCAATACTTGAAGTTCTTCAATACCCTCAATTATTGATCGCTCCATGTTGTCAAATGAGATTTTAATTGAATACTTTGAAAAATTGGTTCGATGTTTCACGTTTGTTTGACACCCTCAACTGTCAATGATTGTGTTGTCGAATGAAATCTCAACTGAATACTCAGGAACACCCATTCGACTCTCTTGAATGTTGTTGACTTTGTATTACTAAATGAGTTAGGCAACTTCCCACTTTGTGTAGAAGTAATTAAGGTGATTAAAACTTAACCACACCACAATACAAAGAATGTTACCGACGTATTACCTAGTCATTAGTTCTAGGTTGAGGCCCATTAAACTTTGAATTTATCACAATTAATATAAATAACATAGTATATTGAATATGTCTGAATATTGAGATAAATTTACTATTCACAATATATATTTACATTTATTACAATGATAACGTTACTTACTTGAGCGGAATATCTTTTACAAATATATTCCTTTAAAACAGCAACCAAATCAAAGAGTGAAAGTTAGACTTAGTATTAAAGAGAAAGAATGAAAATATCTTGATATAGGTAAAAAATAAATTAAAAAAAATAAGAAATTATAAAAAATTCTTATATACCAACTTTAACGTCAAAAATCATTATCAATTTATATACACTAGAATTTAGATAAACATTTATTTATGTAATTATAATTTATAATAAATATTTAAATTTTGATATAAAGAAGAGCGCTTTACGGTGAATTGGTGAGTGTTAGTGTTTAACCTAGATGTCTATTACGGCGTCGTTTAATTGCGACGATGCTAAATATAAAAAAAGGAGAGAAATGAAGAGGAATTTTACTTTGTAGCGATGGAAGCAATGGTTTCCGGCGACCTGAAGTCGTCGAGCTTGGATCGTGTCAGACCACCACCGCCTCCTCCAGATTCGGCCCTTGTTTTGGCTACCAGACCTCCCAGGCATCTCTCTCTCTCTCTCTCTCTCTCATGTGTTCATTGTTTTAGATTAGGGTTTACCTTCTTAATTTGACATAATAATAATAATCGATTGTGTTTTTGCAGACAAGCGGTGTCGTACTGGACGTGCTCCAAGCTTTGTGCAATTTGCTTCGTTGCTGGGGTTGTTTTCGGTTACTCCCTGAGAGGACGAGTTAAGCGTTGGGCTTCCAAGTTGCTCAAGAAGCTCACCTGATACTTTTAGTCATTTGGTCAGAATAGCATAACAATTTTGCTTCATTCCTCATGCGGGTTTTGTAATGGAATTACTTGCTTTCGCACAACTTTCAGTTTTTTCCTACTACTGCTCAACATCTTTTTACAATCAATCTTCACAGATTTAGATGCCCAAACTTCAATATCATGTTTCCAACTTCATTTAACTCGCTTTGCCTTTACTTATCAGCCATTCTTGTCAAGGATCATCGATTTTACCCACTACAATCCACAGTTTCTTTCTGATATCATGTATTTAGATTGTTTTCCACACCTTAACGTTGATTTATAAATTTTAGTTCACTAACCCAAGTAATATAAATCCCAATTATTTTATTTAAAAAAATGGGAGAAGAAAAAGGTAGAAACAAACAAGCAAAGGTACCCTTATATTTTATTTTTGATTTAAATATATTTTTAGTCTTTTAAATTGATGATAAATTTATTTTTGATCTCTTAAATTTAAAATTATTATTTTTAGTTAATATAATTAAAAAAAATTTATTTTAGTCTTTATATTTAAATTTTGTTAAAAAATTTA